TAATATATATATATATATATATTAATATCTCATGTAATATATTACTTGTATTATTTGTAAATTATTAGATATCGTTTATGTTAGTGGACGCCGATGTTGTCTGAATTCATGATGTGCATCAACCGCACGGTCGTTTTATGTGTGATTCGATCAACTTTGCGGATTTTTCCCACCCACGAAGAAGTCATCCCTCGCCACAGTCCACGTTTCTTATTTCACCGGATCGTTACGGGATGGCCTCGAACAAAAAAAAAAGAATGTTTTCCTCCCTCCCTCGTGTCCTTGCATGCAAAAGAACATTTAATGCGATGTAATGCGTCTGCCTTTGAAGTCGTGCAAGCCAGACAAGCAAGGAGGGCGTAACATTACCGAGCTGCATGCAACCCCGTCTTTTTATCCACTGCAAACGTATATATACATGCGGTATGTCTCAAAATCTCCACCCGCGCCCTCCACTCTCATTCAGCACGGAAACGCACGATTGTACGACGAATGTCCCTTGTTTGATCCGCTGGCTGCTTCGAAAGAGAGAGAGCGCATCGACATTGGAATGCATCTCCGGTTTAGCAAAACTCACCGGACTCGTCGCGCGCCTCGAAACCGCGCGCAGATCCGAGCGCGCGTTTTTGTCGTTTCATCGTTAAACGAATTCTTTTCACGCGGAACGACGACTAAAGAACCAAAAAAAAAAATATATACATATGAGTCACGCGAAGCGATTACATCCGAATTGGATGTAAAAGCAAGGCAAATTCGAGGAACGACGAATCGCCGAAAGTGACAGTGCGTGCTCAACGATGGTTGCAGCCTGCAGTGAGAAAGGTCATGGCATGCATCCGGCGTTAGTCCGCAGCTGCAGAGCATGGCCAGAGTCTATATAAAAAGATGCATGAGCATGTTCGTTCCACCGTTTGTTCGTTCGTTCGCTCGCTCGCTCGCTCGCTCGCTCGATCGTTCGTTATGTGCGTTGTGGAGCCTCACGTTATGGAAACCTCACGCATTCATATACAAATAGCGAGTACCCACCAGTAGTAGCCAGTCTGTAATGGCACGAAGCAATGAACTAGAACAAAAGTAAGAAAAAGTATAAAAAAAAGTAAATAAATAAATACGTAAAAGAAAGATCAGCTCTTAGAGCCGCCGAGAAACGTCTTGTGTGTGTGTGTCTGTGCCTCGTAATTCCAGTAAAGATGAATCCGGTACTCGCCTTCGAATATCTGTTCTTCGCCGTCTTCGGCCAAACGACCCACAGCGAGCTGAAGGTCGAGAACAATCAGCCGCAGTGGACCTCGGTCCTCTTCAAGTTGACCTTCGGCGTGTACATGCTGGTCTCGGTAGTGGTGTTGATTAATCTGCTGATCGCCATGATGAGCGACACTTATCAACGGATACAGGCGCAGTCGGACATTGAGTGGAAATACGGGCTCAGTAAACTGATCCGTAACATGCACAGGTAAGCCCGCCGACCTTTTAAAGACTCGAATAACGTGCGATAAGGCATCCCGCTATGATAAAACCGCTATGATAAACCGACGAGTAACCGGCCGAAATAGCAAATCTCGTTATCTTTTCCGACCGGAACCGCTGGCGTTATAAATAGATGTTAACGTTACTTTTGCCGGCGCGCGGGACTGTCCATCGCGTTCCCCATCGCGTTTCACGATGCCAAGCGAGACGCGATCAAGTTCAGTCGTTCATCGTCGTTACGTTATAGCGAAGCTTCGCGGTTCCCTTAAGTAGCTTCGCAGTGCCAAGCATTCGGGGTTACCGGAGCATACGTGTGTGCTGGAAACGCGATTGCGTGTTTCAGAACCACCACAGCTCCGGCCCCGCTAAACTTGTTCACCACCTGGACCGTGTACTTCATCAAGCTGTGCAGGCAGCGGCGCGCTAAGCGCAAGCGGCCGTCGCTGGTGCACATGATGGGGCTGCAGCGCACCGCCCGCTTGTCGCCCAGATCGAAGATGGGCGCCAAGTGGCTGGCCAAGGTCAAGAAGGGCCAGGTCCGTCCGAAGGACAGCGTCACCCTCTCCGTGGTGCATCTCAGTCCGCTGGGCAGCCAGCTGTCCTTCAATACCGCGACCAGAATCGAGAACGTAGTGGACTGGGACTCGATCAGGAAGAAGTATCTCGCGCTGACCGGAAACGGGCCCGAGAAGGACGACGCGGAGAAAGAAGAGAAGGGCGACGAGGGCGAGAACGAGGACGAGAGCGGGCCGACGGCGTCCAACGCGTCGACGGTGCCGGCGACGATCCCGAATCCGCCCATGTAAAGATCGTCGTCGGCCCGCTTACTTTCGTCGAACGCCGAACGCGAGTACAATGCGCGAGAAGCGGCGCAGCGCGAGTACAAACGAGCGACTAGATCCCGTCGCGCGATCACGCTCCGTAATCGCTTGTATAGACGGACTTAACGGTGTGTTAGAGAAACGTATCCTCGCCTAGAACAGTTTTGCGATCGAATCGTAATCGCTACCTGAGACCGCAAATCCCCGACGATCGAGCGAGACCATTGTGAGAGGATCCTTGCGAGATCCTGGCGCCGGCGACCGGCCTAAACGTATAAGTATCTAAGTAAGTAAAGTCTCGACGTGACACGTGAACCTCTCGTAGGAACGCGTATAATTGGTGTTGTTTTGTGAGATACATGAGTATGGACCAATTTCCTCTCCCGCCCGTCACACAACACGACCGGATGATGCCTGCGAATGCCGTATCGAATGCCGCCACGAATCCCCGTCACATCCGCTCGCTCGATGCTTCATTGAATCATTCATTTGGATCATTGGATGTTCCATCGTTCATTTGCGCGTCACGTAGGGCACGATATCTACCTCGGCGACGAAATTGTTTTTTGCGCTGTAGAGCCGTTCCTGCAAACATCAATCAAAATTAAATACAACTCAATTATACCCATCGATTTTTTTGTAGAAGGAAATAGAGAATACTTGAAATTTTCATCGTTTGAATTTCGATGTTAACTGACGCTTACACGGGCGGTTCATGATGATTCGATATTTCCGACAACACAAATATCTAAAGAGACGCTGCAAAGATATCCGAACTTTTCAGATGTTTTCCGATATTTGCGATGTCTGAGATGATATATTGCACGTGACATGCATCACAACTTTCTAGTCTTTTCTTAAACTTCATGCGCTTGAAATTAGAATTCGTCCGAATTAGACGAAAGGGCATTTTTCGTAGGCGCTTGGACTTTTTCTGCGACAGAGCCGAAGAATTCGTGCAAGTCGCAGTATAAATATATCTTGTATGGCTTGAAACCGATTCTTGCGACATTTTGTAGTAGCAACGTTTATAGCATGTTGTTCTCGAACAGTGGCAGAGAAATTGCATAGGAATTGCATAAAAAAAGCGTACGTCGCCGCGTGCGCGCGCGCGCTTGTACACGAGACACTACGAGACACGCTGTTAACACGTATTTACAGTCCGGATGGATCCCGTGCTCGCGGTCGAGCTGTTGTTCTTCGCCATCTTCGGTCAGACGACGCACGAGAGTTTCAAAGTAGAACCGCTACAGCCCACCTGGACGACCGTTCTCTTCAAGCTCACCTTCGGCATTTACATGCTGGTGTCGGTGGTGGTGCTGATTAATCTGCTGATCGCCATGATGAGCGATACCTATCAGCGGATACAGGCACAGTCGGACATCGAGTGGAAGTACGGATTGAGCAAGCTCGTACGAAATATGCACAGGTAAGAGAACACGGTATATCCGAGTAAACGCAAACAATAACGCTAACGAAAAGAGAAGTGACGATAAGGACGACGAGACGGCAGAAAGACAACGGCACAGAGCTGAAAATCGCACGTATCGCACGAAAGCGCTAATCGACCAATCGCATTACGCAACAGGACCACCACGGCACCGTCCCCGCTGAATCTCCTAAGCTCGTGGATCACGTACTTCTGTAAGCTCTGCAAGAAACGCCTGAGCAAGAAGTCGACGGCCGTCCCTCATGCAGCTGGTGTCCGGCCCTCGCATGTCGCCGCGCTCCAAGATGGGCGCCAAGTGGCTGTCCAAGATAAAGAGGAACACGCAGATCGCCCACAAGGACAGCGGGGCCTTGTCGGTCGTGCCCCTGAGCCCTCTCGGGAGCCAGCTGTCCTTCGGCTACGCCGTCAGCAAGATCGACAACGTCGTCGACTGGGAGGCCGTCAGGCGCAAGTATAGGGATCTCTACGGCGAGAAAATCGAGGAGAAGCCGGCCGAAGACAGTAAGGAATCGACGGAAAATCCGCTGGCGGCCCTGGAGGGATCGTCGGGCGACGCCGAGAAATCGCCATTTGGGGCTTGAACGGAGGAGCGAAGCTCCTCCGCAGATACCCCCGCCAAATGATATATTCTGTAGCTCTCGCGGAAATTCTCTTTTTTTACGGGTTCGCCGCGTTAATACGCTCAATCGCATGATTTTACTTGTACATATCGCCGTGACGTACGGAGGACCTTGTCAGTATTTTTGAAATAAACGTTCTAGTTCACGAGTTTGCCTCGCTTGTACAGTTATTGATTTAGTTAGAGAACCCGCTCTCCTTGTGATCCATCTAATCGATTGCCTATACCACGTTTTAGAGGCTACCATGGGGAATACCCGTGTGCATAGGGATCGTCCCACGTCACGTTTGACGGTTAGTCCATTACCTATTCTTAATTATGACTTTCTTCCCACCTGGAATGTTTTTTTTTTATTCATACATGTACGATATGTATAAATATAAATATATATATATGGAGCGCAATTGCGACTCTTCTGCAACGATGCACCGATCATTATGCCTGCATCATGTTGCTCACGATTTTTTTCGCGTAACGTATCGGCACACCCGATACATGTTTGTAGGATGTGTATCCATGTAGGGCTGCGAATATCACGTTGGAACTGCCTTCGAAACTCACGTTATTATACACACACACAGACTTGATGTATATTCGTAGCATGTATATTCGTTGATACATTGATGGACGTCGAACGATTCGTACGCGTCTACAGGTTTCACCACTCGTTCATCCGCACGTTGTAAAATTCGACTGGCACGCATCAACGATGTTACCCTGTAAGAAATAGTTGGATTACAATGGATTTCAAGAAACTTGATTTTGTGCAATAAATACTTAATCTTTAAATTTAGATTTTGGTTTAAAAACTTTAAATTTTTTATAACATCACTAAAAGAGTTTAGATTAAATGTGGAATAATAAAAATTAATATATTTCAATTTTAATTAAGAAACTGATTTTTTTTCGATTTCTGTTTGTTATATTATAAAAATAAAAAATCTATAGACACAAAAATAAAATAATTAGAAGTTTATTTAATATAATTTTACAGAGTAAAAATTTTTACTGGTTCTTTTATCACTTTCCTATTTTTTGCAGGGTGCATACAGCGAATCGAAATGCAGTTCTCACGTTGCAAGCCGCATTCATCGCATCCATCCTGCATTTGAATGCGTTTAAAAATGTCTCACTGATATTCAGACGAATGTGAACATCTATACAGGCTGTTACTCAGTGTTCACTCATCGAGATCGATACGCGTTGCTCATCTCATCGCATGTTTTAGGTTTTATAAAGCTCGCTGACTTTTCTTCTGATTGATCGTCGATTGTTACCAAACGAAAAATGACATATCGACTATGGCATGAATTTTTTACAGTTTAGTCCAGAAACTGTAAACACCATACGATTTTTCTGCTTATAATCAAAATACGATAACAAATCGATAACACGATACATTTCATATCAGCAGTGATACAGTCTGAAATTCGTAACCATAATTACAATACATAAATTATTAACCACTAATTATGAACTACACACTCGCCCAGTTATATTACACTGCTGTATTAGCGTAGGAATGAATTTAATTCGAACGCCTGTAATTTTTAATAATTTTTGATAATATTTAGCTACGTTTGACAATTGAAATTAATTTATCTGCACAGTATTCGTTTCATTGATTGATTCTCTCTTCTGTTTTCATAGTGAGAGTTAGTGTGGTCGAAATTACGGAGAATCTTTTCTTCGCCATTTTCGGCCAAAAAGACGCCGAAGACTTTACACTTTCTTTAAGAGGACAACTGCAGCCGAAGTGGACGGTTTATTTTTTTAAGGTGAGAAACAAATATTACCACACAATTGTTTATATAACATCTCCGATCGTCGATTGTATATCTTGTTTGTATATTATTTTTGATCGTGTTGTGTTCACATGTAACAAATAATTACATTCCCTTCGATAGGTGTCATTCTCTTTATACATGCTCGTCAGTGTCATAGTACTGATTAATTTACTAATTGCTATGATGAGCGACACGTATCACAACATTCAATCGCAAAGTGATATCGAATGGAAGTATGGTCTCAGCAAATTAATTCGCAAAATGCAAAAGTAAGTAGATGCAATCGTAACAAAATTCGCTTAAAATTATTTGAAATCTATTAAAAACTGAAATATTCTTGTCTAATTATATAGCAATCAAATTCGTGAAAGTTTCTTAAATTTTGATATCAGATTTCTGATTACTCTTATCGTAAACTTACAAATCTTTCTTGCAATTTTACTCTGGATGATGATTTTTGTAAAGAACGAGAACTGCCCCAGCACCCTTAAATCTCATTACAACATGGGTGGAGTATCTTAAGAATGCTTGTATGAAGGAACGAATTGCAAGACAGAAAGTTGGCAGATCGCGTGGATATATGGAACCTAATATGCATCAAAGAGAAAAATATTCACTTCCTACTGTACGTAGATACTGTCCTGCTTATTAAAAATATGATGCAATTTATAACCATTTTGTGTCTTTGTCTTTATATTTTTCTTTTATTGTTTGCTCACTTATAGTTTACTAGCGCAAGATGTTAAAATTTCCAGTTGTCTCTAATGAATCGACAAGATGCACGATCTATTCTAACTCTAAATTTATTGGTTTTTTTTTTTAGAATAACAGAACACTTCCAAGAGCAAAGGACAGTATTAATTTTTCATTACTTCAATCAAGTCCGGCTAACAGTCAAAGTTCCTTAAATAATATTTTAAGGATAAACAACGTCGTCGACTGGGATATAGTCCGTCGGAAGTATCGAGTGCGATTCGGAGGTGAAATCGAGAAACCGTCTGATGGAGAGGCAACGCTTGCTGAAATAGCTTGAAGAATAAAATTTGCGCTACATACTTCTCATTTTTACGTGCAATTTTCAATACGCATTATTTTTTATTATGATTATATTTTATATCTTAATGTATTTGTATTAGGTGACATATATAAGAAACACTTTCTACTCTTTTATATGTTTCTCCGCGATATTGCGTAACTATAGTGTATAAAATATATGTGTACGTATTATAAATAAACATGCAATTATACTTAAATATTTTCATTACAGCTCGCCTTTCCCGAACGGTGGCTGCGCGTTGGTTTCCAGATAAAAGGTGCCCTGAGCATCAGTGCTGATAAATTCGCCCATAACAGTCGTGGTAGAATTATCGTCGCATTTACCAAGCTGAAAATCCATCCAACTATCGCATTGCATACCGATAAAGCCATCAGGACGCACAATGGACTCGGCAAAAAATTGATGCGATCTACCGTGGCTACAATATTCTAAAAATACAAATTGCATCAGTTTGATTGCGTCCCATAAGTATTATACAATATTATTTAAATGCAATTTTCCGATATCATCGTACGAGCTGAAAATATTGGACATCCTGGTTGCCTAAATGTTCCTCCGTTCGGGTAAAAGTCCGCGTGGCCAATAGGCCTGAGGAAGCCTACACTGCCGGCACAGGTGTGAATAACATCCACAAAACTGGCGTCTGTAGAATCCAGCCGTTCTTCCGTGTCCTTCAGATACGGCGTCTCGTACGCTGGTCTAGCCGGATCGAGTCCGGTGATTCGGCCGAGTTTCTGCGAGACATAATTACCAACGAATCCGGCTACATGGGCACCCAGGCTGTGCCCCAAGATATGAATATCGTCGAAGGAGACTTTAGTCTCTGATCCGAGAAACTCTATAAATGCAGCCACGTATTCTCCCACCTGTGAACACAAATCTTGATTTTGTATTTTTATAAGAGTTTTAAAAAAGATAAGTATGCATTAGTTCTCATGACTTAATGAAATCATTAATACTTAATTTTATTTGCCTATTATTAATTACTTCATTGTGGAATAAAAAATTTTCTCTATTGCAGTATGATTTGCCTCACGCTATTACAAACAATTTTTTTATTGATTATAAATCTTGCAATCACATGCAATATTTTTAGAACCATAATTTCGAAAATAGAGAGCTCAGTTTCACGTAATGACTTGGTATCAATTTTTTTTATTAATTTAATTTAATTTTTTAAGTGCAAGAAAACTTGAGTTCACCTGGCGAGTGAGTTTGACAGACGTTAAGTATTCCTTGGTTGAACCGACAAACCAATTTACACAAATTATATTATAATCCCCAACACTAAGATAATTTCGTCGAATATCATGCAGCCAAAAAGTGTTTCCGTTATCTGTCCATCCGTGAATGATGATCTTGGTTGGCCATTCAGGATTGAATGGTGAATCCTTTAATTGGACAGAATCGCCCACTCGTAGAGAAAAAGATTGCTCTTTATTATCCTTGGTATAAAGCTCATAATTTAGATCATCTGCTTTCAAATCCACCTCAAGAACATTGGTGACCGCCGCATGATCTACGTTCGAAATGATCGACGTCGGATTCAAAAAAATCTCGAGAAGACCTTCATCGGGATGATGTTCCTGAAAATTTTGAAACGACGGCCGATGACTTAGTAAGTCAGCTGCATTAAAAGGTATATCTGAAAACACAAATAAAAAATAATTAACTTTTATCTATATTTCTAAAATTAGATTAATATATTTTTTATTGAAAAATTGAAATCAGAGATGTCAATTGAAATCAAAATAAATCACATTACTTAGCAACAAAAATACGAAGAACGTCGCAATAAGAAACATTGTGATACTTTCAACGTAGTTGTCGAACGATTTCTTATATATCTTAGAGTTACATAAGCAAAAAGTTTCTTATATCACTCGATTCATTATATCTTGTTATCAATACAATACGCAAGAAATTGCTCTGTAAACTTCCGGTAGTTGTTTACTCTGATTTGAGTGTATCAAATCAGATGTCATATAATATGAAATAATATAAATAGATTTAATTTTATATATTTCTTTTACCTTACCTTTTTGAATTGATAAGATATAGGAAATCACAAAATTAGAAAACATATTAAAAGAAAATATCGGATATTAAGTATTAAATCTATATCTTATTTGCGCTAATTAGTACATTAATTTTCTTAAATATATAAATACGAAATAAATAAAAATATATGATTGCATATTGCTTATTTAAATAAATTGTTACTTTTTTTATTTATTTATATTCTTTTTGTTATTTGATTTTGTGGTTAATGTCGGAATTATCGATGGTTTCATAAGTTTTAAGATTGGAAATATGAGTATAATCTATAAATGCATAACATTTTTAATTTATGTGTCATGTGTAATATTAAAATATTATTATTACATTATCTTCTGCATTATTAATATAACAAATATTAAAATAATATTCTATTTTAGAATTTGTATTTTCAAATGTATTTTTAAATGTAAAATGAACAAATGGATATAACTCTGCTCGTTTAAATAAGTAATTTGCTCTTTTTATTCACTTATGAGATATTGTGTCCTCGTTATTTTCATGTTAGATCAATATTCTAATCGATGAATTATCGATTAGCGAGCAATACAGATATATAACCAGCTGATGTTTTTATCAACTGAAAATAGAATATACGAATATATGTAAAAGATAATAAAAATTTTAAATAATATTAAATCAAAATAAAAGAAAATAATTGAAATATAAAGCTTTATAAAAATCAACCCGCTTATGCGGATAATTAAATGATGTTTGATGTTTGATGAAAAGACGTGTCTTACACTGCAAAACAGGGACAATGTCATGGGAAATATTCTGCCTGCAGTAATGTACAAAGGTTTTTCAGCGCGAATCATTATCATTAGTAGATTTTTGGCTTCTTTCGGCTCCAACAAGTACCACTCGTAGTTATACGCCGCGTAATACACTCCTTCCGCCTGTGTAAATATTAACAAAATTATTCATCAACATTCTTTGGATTGTGGCAATCAGCTGAGAAAACATTACAATTCGATAATATTGTCGGTATTAATTATTTGTATTACTGATAAATACTTACCTTGGCTATAAGAATTTCTCCGACCACGCAGTACAGGCACATGTGAACGAATGTATTAATAAGAATTGAAACAAGCCAACATATTCGCATATAAGAAAGATCGCCTTCCCCGTCAATGATCTAGATACGTTAATATATGCGCGAATAATTTTTTGTGCAATTTCTCAATGGTTTTGTTTGTCAAATTTATTTTAATTCAGTTTAATTTCTTTTTTTTAATTTACGCACATTGTTGAAAAAAAGAAACAATATATTATTAAAGCAAGTCTTCTTAGTGCGTTGCAACCAAAGGCTTTTATAAAATATTAACTTAGATTTTTTTTTAAGTAAATGGTTCTGGTATTATAATATTATTATCGTTTTTCATCTTCTCAATGCATACATACACGTTTTTACTTATTTGTATCGAGAACTGATAACAGTATCACGATTGAGGTCTTTTCTTGTTGCCTTCGTTTCCATTGCAATGAAAAATTGTATGCTATGAATATTTTATACTACCTGATTACAAATTTTTGGAAAAATAACTCTCCTCCCTTTCGGCAACTTACGCTAACTATCAGAAATCCTTGGAGACAAAATAGCATAGCGAAAAACACTAACAATGCCAGGAGCATCAAGTTAAACGTGTTGTCGATGACATCGACGGATCTATAAATATAAGATATCGTATATTGTAACATTAATTATTTTTTATATAAAAAAAAGAAGCCTTGAAGGACATCTTCGATGTATGACATATCAGATATGTGCGCAAAAGCTGCAACGATGTATTTATTCGGCATAAGCCAACACGATGTAGAAATATTGCATTGTAAAACACATAAAACATATCCCTAATGACACAATGTGACATCATATTTTTTCAATTTTTTTTCCACATTGTTCAAAGTGGTAAAATGAAACTGTGAAACGTAAGGACACAAAATCGCAGGTGATGGAAAGATTTGAATACAACCTGATAAGACGCAGGTGATCCTTGATATTAAAGCGTAATCCGGTCCTAAAGTCTTTGAAGTTATTCAAATTGAGCATTCGCTCTTTGAGAATATCCAGCTGAGCACATATGTGAAATACAACCAGGCCCAGGAAGGTATCGATGCCCGTGTAAGAAATCGCGGCCATCACAATCGATATGGCCTGGGCGGTGAATGCGATTTCGTAATACGGGCTCTGCGACGAGTCTCGCAAGTAGTACGTTTGCAACAGAAACGGTCTTTCTTTCACAGGATCTGTGAGATTTGTCAAATATCTTGACGTGTATCCAAAGCACGGAGGTATGATAAGGACGATGGATGCGAAAGACATCGCGATAGCCCCGAACATGACGATCGCTCTGGCAAATCTTGCTTGCTTTATCATGGCATTTCGTTCTTGCGCCGTTTTCTCCCTCATCCAATCCTCCACGATCATATTTATAATCGGCACGAGATCTTTGAAGAAGGATATAAGATTCACGGATCAAATCGGGACTTTTGAAAATATACGAAGTAAATCTACATCGTGTAACATCGATAATATTACGTGAATTTACCACTTCTGCGAAACCACATGATGATATATTTTATACCGGTCGCTGTGAATGGCAGTCCGATCTGCAAGTTGTCTGACATCGCCATTACATCACCCCAAACTCTCAGCAGTGCCAATATTCCGGGTAAGATCGATGCGCTCATCATTGTAACAAAAATAATAAAGGCACGTACATCCGCCAAAATTCTTTGCTGACGAGTTAACTTGTTGGTTGGCCAAAGACCGATGATCTTCAGAGAAATTCGATTTATTCCAATCGCCCAATCTAAATCTATGTCATCATCACGCTGTTATTTGTTATAAATTGTCAGAGATAACAGAGAAAACAAATTTTAGTAACACATCGTTACTCAAGTAAGTTGAAAATCTAATATCAACCTTTTTTCCTTTATTCCTTTATTTCTTTATTCCTTTATAAAATTGTATTTTTTTTTAAGAATATTTTTTTCGCAAAATATTTTAATTAATTTTTTAAGTAATGTCTTGAGCTGCGGAAATTAATAACATTTTATGATAAATTTTGACAATGAAAAGCATTGAAGTAATCAACTTGCAATTATTCTTGTATTTATAAGTACAAAATCTTTTGTCTATTTATTATTGCTATTGTCAAAAAACTAATGCATTGTTTTTTATTATTCGAGAAAGACGGACAGCTCACTGTAAAATCTCACTTTTGCACTTTAATAATGACATAAAAAATATTAATTAGATGGAAACATCAGTCTTAAATCTTAATTATGCTTGTGATATGAAAATTATCTTATTTATCTTATTGTTAATAAAGAAAATATAAGCACCTGCGGTTGATAATTCTTTAGAATTGTCCATGTCTGAGGCTAAACGCAGACTGGCATTTTTTTATGAATCCAGCATTTTCCCTTACTTCACAGGGCACGGCAATTACGCATGCTCACGGCAAAAGTTTTGAAACTCACGTGCTAAGGTGCAAAGTATGAGCGTTCATGAATATTTAAGATACTAATGTCTGCCGTATTTTCTTGTTTTTTTTTTACGCGTGTCAAACTGTAATTTTTCGTTCGAAGAATCGAGTAACTCTCCAATAGCATCGCTAAATAGTCTATAAATATCTAAATGGGTGCAACGTCCTTCAATTTTCTCGGCGATTGTTAATTTTATTTTCTCTGCTCTTTTCTCGCTAAACTTGCTCGTTTTTAATAATGTACATTTTTTAAAGCTCGCATCTTACATCAAGCGAAACTTTAAAACGCAAAAAATTAACGTCGACATTACGACGCCATAAAGTTTCGCAAACGATGCGTTGCGGATGATGTGTGTTCATAGCAGCGTGAAAAAGAGCTAAAACTCAGCAACGCCAGATGCTCACAAATTATCGTAAGGATTAATAAAGTAAAAAAAAAGAATATATCAAGTAAATTATATATACCGATTAATGCAGTGTAATAATAAATATAATTGTGCAGTCTTACGTCGAGATATAAATTGTTTTAAGAATAATTAAGAAGTGATGTTGATTCATTAATAGTGTTGTTAGAATAGTGAAGTTTATACGTGTTACATAATCAAAACAAATGTTGGGGCTATGCAATTTATAATTCTAGTAAGTATTCACTAAATTTTGCAAGCATTTTAATATTATTAATTTTTAATATTTTAATTATACACTTGCTATACTATAATCTCTCAAGACACTGAATCAATTGGATTATGCATAAATAATTAAATAATATAAAGGGCTTTTAATGAAGACCTAAAATTTTTTAATCAATTGTAGATCAATTATTTATTGTAATTATTAATTATTTATTACATATGAAAGCTCTCTCCGTTCAAATTAACAATTTCACTCACGCGTAGGCACGAATTAATGCATTTGGCGTCTTGATTGAGCGCTGTTCTACATTTTATTTTTATTTTACAACGGAAAAAATTAAGCTCCATCGAATATTCTCTAATGGTTAAAAGTCATCGATTAGCGAGCAATACGGATATATAACCGGCTGACGTTTTGATCAACTGAAAGCAAAGTGTAAGAGTTAACCGGTAGAATTATGAATAAGTGATAGACTGTCTTACGCTACAGAACGTGGACAACGTCATAGGTAATATTTTTCCTGCCGTGATATAAAGAGGCCTCTCGGAATGAATCATTATCAACATCAGATTTCTGGCTTCATTTGGTTTTAGGGAATACCATGCATAGTCATATACCGCACAATGTATGCCGTCACACTGCATACACATTATTGTTATCTAAATGAATGTATATTAAGGTCTCTCGCATGAGACAAAGCTAAAATGCACACTATTGTCAACTAACTGCTGATTTAATTGTAACAAGGCTGATGCGGTAGCAAATATTGGTTTTTAACAAATGATCGTGAATACTTATACAAAAAAAAAAATATAACAGATAAAAGAATCTCACACATTGACGATGCGTAACATTTATCGTATTGATATGTATATTTCAATAATATGAATATTTTATAATATTAATTAATTAAAGAAAACTTTTGCAATTAAAATTAATTATAAGATTGAAGAAATATGTATATTTTATGAAACAATTATTTTAGGAGTAGTAAAATTAATTTAATTTTGTCAGCAAAACAAATTACATTTTGAATTGAAATTAATTAAAAAATAATGAATAAATAATACTTACTTTTGCAATGAGAATTTCACCGACCACGCAGTAGAGGCACATATGAACGAATGTATTAATAAGTACCGACACGAGCCAGCATATTCACGGGAAAGAGACGTTGCCACTGTCATCGATGATCTGTACACGTTAACGTGTTTGCAAGTTTAATTAGATCCTTTTTATTTTGAATTTACAGTTGTAAAATATAACACTATGTGAACTATCATTTCTCAAAGTGAGAAGCATGTGTGTAATTTACATGAAAACTAATATCAAAGAATTTCATGATATGAGTGACTGTGTAAGTTTGTGATAAATATTTATTATATGTGTTGTGATGTATTGCGCCGTGACAGATATTTTACGCTATGTGATTTGATTTTATCAAAGTAACAAAACTTCTCTACCTTTTCTGTAACTTACGCTAATTATCAGAAAGCCTTGAAGACAAAATAATATAGCGAAATACACTAACAGTGCCAGGAGCATTAAGTTGAACGTATTTTCGATGATGTCGACGGACCTATGGAGCATAGCATTCTTTAAGATGTAAGATCTCAATTTTCGGCATACAGATTTTTCATAGCTTTGTGTCTTCGATCAAGATGTGTATTTTTTAATTTAAATATAAACCTGAGCTAAACTCGAAAAACATTTAATTTTACTTGTATGTATGATGATTCAAAATAAGAAAACTCAATTTGCAACCTGATGAGACGAATGATCCTGGACGTTGGTCGATAATCCGGTGTTGAAGTACTTAAAGCTGTGTAAATCGAGCAGTCTCGTTTTGAGGATTTCCATTTGAGCGCATATGTGAAAGACAATCAGTCCTAGGAAATTGTCGATGCCCGTGTAAGAGAACACGGCCATTAGGACGACCGTGGTTTGAGCGACGAACGCGATTTCGAGTATAAGCTCTCCATGGTATCTCGTAAGTAATACGCTTGCAGCAGCAACGGCTTCCCCGGATCCGTGATGTTTGTCAGATATCTCATAGAGTAGCCGAAGCACGGCGGGATGACGATAATAACTATTGCCAGAACCATCATAATACAGCCAAACACAATGATTGTTCTCGCAATTCTCGCCTGCTTTATCATAGTGTCGCGCTCCTCTTTTGTCTTCGTCCTAATCCAATCCGCCACGATCATGCTTACAACCGTGGAGAGATCTTGGTAAAAATTGCGCAAGTTATATTGTCGTTATTATATAAAATCATGTTAAATTAATTTCATTTATTAACTGTATTATTCATTTGCTTTAGCCTTATATATATTTGACGTAAATACATAAAAAATTAAACTTTGAGAAGCTTTAAATAATTTTTAAAAATGTCGGCCAAATGTACTGTCAATTGTGTCAACAATTTTTTTTCCTCCATGAAATGAATAATATAACAAAAATGAAATGAGGATATTAGGAAATTGAATTGATATCAAATTGCATGTTTAAAATGGTCACAAAATTATTGCGAAAAAATTAATGCTAAGATAACCGTAATAAATGTTGTCTAAGAGCAAAAATAAAACTAAAAAAGTCTTTAAATTTTTTTTTAAAACGAAAGGAGGATGTTAAAAATAGGTCGATTTTGGCCCATGGTGTGGAACCAAAACTACAAATGGTTTCTTATAGATTTTATATCGTAGAATCACGTGGTAAAGTCCGTTTT